TATTTTCCTATTTTCCTATTTTATTTTCTGAAATTCCCAATAAATGCTTAGTTACATAGTCCTATTTTGGGTTGAAATCCAACAATTCCAATTTCCCATTAAGGTTTGGTTATTTCATTTGGGTCAAAATATTGATGTCAATACTGTTTGTTTGACATTATAAGGGCATGTCTCACACAATTAAGCCCACAAAATAAAGTAAACATGCTATAAGCTCCACAGTAATATTGACTTCATCTCTATAATCAGAATAATGGGGGAAAAAAAGCACGGAGAAATACATGAAATGAAAAACAACTCGGCAGTGACTGTGAGATTGTGTACATAAAATTTGGAACAACGTAACCAATTAAAGCTAAGGCATCTCATACGTATGCCTACAGAAAATAACAGTGTATGGTCATCTTCTTTAGAATATTGCAATCAACACTTGGTTGAGACCGACCTGCAAAAACTACTGGGTTAAGTACAGAGATAGAGTTTATGAAAGAAGCAGATTGGCTCCATTACAATGTTCAAGAATAATGTAAATAGTAGATAAAAGAGTTCTTATTCAAACCTCAGCAGGTTTCTCGGTTTCATTCCTGGACCTTCAATATCGTCTTGCACAATAGCATCATTTCACTTCGTCAAACTTCCAGGCAAAGACTCCGCAATTTCTTTTAGACCCTGCAACAAAGTGGCATGACTTAAATTCATTTTTTGGATACACGCGAGAGTCTAAACTAGTCTAAAAATAAAGCTGTTTTACCTGCTTTTCTGAAATGGAACCTAGCTTGTAATCCTGCAAAAGGGAAAAGTAAGATAAGTTGCTACAGCAGCAGTCATACTACGCTTTGTCACATACATAAGATCTGAGAATTTTAGACCCTAACCATTTGTGAAGAGCAAATATTAGATTTGCTTAAAGAAGACAACAACTCAGAGAACCAATGGATGAAATAATATAAACATAAATATATCATCTGGATACCTTCCACCACATGTAACCATAAACCAATGCCCCCAAGGTAGCTGCTGCCATTATTCGTGATGTCAAACCTATTACAAAAATCAATGAAAAAAGATAACCAATTAAAAAAAGTTTCTATTGCATTATGAAAAACATACGTGTAAGGAATAGAAGTTTTAGAACTAAACCAAAAACTAAGGGCAGGAC